TGAGTTAATCTTAAATGTACTTGTAAGTTTCGGAATCTTCCAGCCTATAGCATTTAAGAATATACTGGACATATATTGTGCATTGGGGATTTGCAAAGTTTTGTGTAAATCAAAACACATAAATCAAAGAAATAAACTAAAATAAGGATTGTAACAGGATCAATGATAAGGCAATCCAAATGACTGAAAAGAAATGTACTAATATGATGATTATTTGGAAAAAATATATACTAAATTGTCATTTATTAAAACAATAAGAATTGTATTAACTCAATGTTTGCAAAAAAGGAAACATTGGGGAAAGAGGAAGTCAACTAAAATTAATATATAGAATACAGATTATAGAAATCAATTGTTAAGGACTGTCTTTACACATGTAACCCAGACAACACACTGTTTACCAATTATTGAGTGACTTATGCTTGTAAAAAATTTAATAAAAAATATAATACAAAAAACACCCAAACATGAAACAATGAATTGATATAGGATGTGTTTGTAAACTTCACCTTGAAATGTAGCTGATACACTATACTTTATATACTATACTGAACAATAGTATAGCATATAATTCAGTACAAAGCTTTTTATTTATTTATTTATTACATTTATTTATTTGTTATAGTAGGCAGCTGAGTTTAACATTACAATAGCTGATTCTTCCTATGTTTCCTTGGCATTTCTTTTACTGTTGATATGTAGGTCATGTATCTAGCTCAGGACCTATAGTCTCCCTTCAGGAAATAAAAATGCTACATGTCTCAAAGACTAATAAATTTCATTTCATAAGACACTCTTATAGAAGCCATAACTGTTTAATGTAGAGTTTTTCCTCACAGAGGCCAAATGGAATGTAAGTCATGGAAACGTTGAGGGCAGGTGAGGTTAACGTCTCTTTTCCTGGATTTGGGAGTGGGAGGGCAGAAAGCAGATTTTTAAAGTTTTGGCATGACACCTCTTCCTGGCTTTCATAACTGGGCGTGAGTAATTATCAGTGTGAGTATTTCCAGAGGACCACTTCTATGTATAGAATTGCCAGGAGCTGGATCCATATATAAGGCGGGTGAAAGATGATTTTAAAATACTGCTTTTTGTATCTTTTATCGCCCAGTTTAGTTCCAGAATCTTCCCTGCCATCTTACTGGCTCAGAAATTGGGATGTGAACTCAGGATTCCAGACAAAACCTGAAGAGCCTTTAATCCTTCAGAAGCTCCCCATATAATTTTTGAAAATGAGTTAAATTCTTTGGCCTTCTCCCAACCTATTGCATCTTTAAAAGAGGCAGCCAGATTATATCCTCTGATTAGAAAGTAACAGAATTGTCATATCCAATGAAACAGAATTCACATCATTTTCCTGGCTGTTAGAATGAAAGTACTGCTTCAAGTGGATATAAATCTGATGTAGATTAAGAGCAGAGATCCAGATGAATGATGAAGGCAACAGGAGAAACATAAAAAGAAACATAAGTTCTGCTGCTTTTTATTCCACAGCTATTCTTGCCTGTGGAATAGAACATAGGTGTTGGGATATAAGGACATGGATCAGATCAGTTTGTAAAATAAGCCAATGAAGGGTGTAATCTACATTTAGCTCCATTTTTAGCTATAGCTGTTCTTCAACTCCTCTGGGTACTTTTGTAACCTGGTGCTAGTGCAAGAAGAAGGGTCTTTTATTCCATTGTGGCAGTAAAAAGAGCAAAATGATTTGTGTCTGAATGTTTTGGAATGGAATTTCTCTCCATTCACCTCCTGCACCCATTCGTGTCTGTTCTTTGTATGCACATTTTTGACTTATTCCTGTTTATTCTCTTATAATTTGGAGCACAACTTGCAAACTTGCTCTTCTTACGGGATGGAACTAATCAATTCTGCCTACATGTTCTAGAAAGTGGTATTGCCCTCAAGACAGTCAGGTGGTTCAGAGAACAGAAATTTGTTTTTTTTTTTTAAAAATCCCTCTTCCTTTCCCCTGCAATTGGAATGGATATACCAATTTTCGTACTGTCAATAGCAATCAGAATTAATTGACAGATGAATAGTTCTGCACTGAGGAAAATGGATGTGATGCTAGAAATCATGGAGAGCAGCACGGAATTGGTTGCTTATATATACTTTTTTTTCTTCTCCAAACAGGGATGCAGACTTGCCATTTCTGAGGAAGCAGCGGAATTACCTCTGTGACTTAATGAAAGTGCCCAAGCCCCAATTGGTAGTGAAGGTAATGTTTTAAAATACCAATTAAGCCCGGATAAATATTTCTGGGAAACAATTTGGTAAAACTCAAGTTTGCTGACCCACCCCGAGACATATGTTACATATCTGTTATTTGAAAAGACATATCTGTTATTTGAAAAGTTTTCACATTTCTCCTGTTGAGCTGTTAGTCAGTGAGCATGATTTGAAGTAGTACAGCTGGTTACAAAGATATGCTTACTGCAGTGTGGTATAGTTCTTGACTTAAAAGCATTCATTTAGTGACTGTTTCAAGTGACAACAGCACTGAAAAAAAGTGACCTATGACTGTTTTTCACATTTACGACCGAATGTCTGTGGAGATTCTCACTCATCCAGGTCATGGTTTCCCAAGGGTGCTTTTCAAAAGGCAACTGGACATTCTTGGTTTTTTTTTCATTGAAAATGTTTCATTTCTCATCTAACAAACTTCTTCAGTTCTGAACCGAAATGAAAAAGCTTCACGGATGAGAAGCGAAATGTTTTCAAGGAAAAAAAAATCAAGAAAGTCCAGTTGCCTTTTGAAAAGCACCTTTGGCACACTTAACGACCGTTGCAGCATCCCTGTGGTCACATGATCAAAATTTGGACGCTTGACAACTGGCGTGTGTTTATGACAGTTGCAGTGTCCCGAGGCCATGTCATCACCTTTTGAGACCTTCTGACAAGCAAAGTTAACGAGGAAGCCAAATTCACTTAACAACGGTGTTACTAACTTAACAACTGCAGTGATTCGCTTGACAATTGTGGCAAGAAAGGTTGTAAAATGGGGCAAAACTCAACTGGTTTTTTCCCCGTTACTGTGGCTTAGCAACAGAAATTTTGGGCTCAGTTATGGTCATAAGTCGAGGACTGCCTGTGCCTGTTAAAGATACTATAAACTCTGTTTCTAATACATACAGCGTATGCATAGCTATCACGGTATTTCCTTTGAAATAAGCAACCTTATGCAAAGTGCAGAAAAAGAGTAAGAAACAGTAAGCCAAAAATAAGGCATAAGAAAAGAAAGAAATATAATTAAATGATACTAATACACTAATCCCACTTATTATATATCTCCATATATTTCTGTCCTTGGAAACCAACTTCTACCATGTGGAAATTTTGTTCTTTAAAAGCCTTAAGTATGCCGAAGTAATTCTGTACTGGTGGGATGCTGGCAACAATGCAGTGGTTTCAAGGTGGTCTGACTAAAGATCCTGGCTTGTATAGAAGCATGTTAATATGCTTGGAGTAAAATTAAGCTTTGTTTATGCTTTAACATAATGACCCAAATGTGCTAAAATATATCAGTATTATCCCAACGGTTAGCAGGGAATACTGCATGTGGTAGGAATATGACTAAGGTTGCTGTACCTGTCTAGGCTATACCTTCTCTGTGTTATGAAAAAGCATATGAAACTATTCAGGCAATTACTGAAAATCCTTTTGAAAGTTGAACAGGTTTTGTGTTGAACTAGAGAATGAAGCTATTCCATAAATGTATTATCCTGCTTCTTGATTTTTATTTGTGTTCACATCTGTATTAGTTTAGAGAAATATCTGCCTGTGCTTTTTTTTATAAATCATCTTGTTAAAGGAAGATATGGTACTGTTAATGTTTTAACTCTGAATAACCACAGGGATCTATATTCGTGCAGAGGTATGAATAGAAGCACATAGTAGTAAATCAGTAGCTAACCTGGGCTCTGAGCTAGAACTGGAAATGATAGGTATTATTCTGTTTGGTGGCTTGTGAATATGGTAGCTTGCCTGTCTTTTTCATTCCATGCTAAATGACAACATAGTAGTAATGCAAATAAACCTTATGGATAAGGCTTACTGGAACATAAATATTTAGTCCTGAAACTGTACTGTATGTCTTTGGAATCAAAAGATCTTTTGGAAATCTTTTGTGGCTTTCCGGTCTAAGAGTGACAGGTACATCTGTATGCCTTTATGCTCTAGCTGGAGATTTTATTCTCCACAAGTTGGAAGAATTTTCACAGCAGTTTGATTTCCCATTACTGCAGAAGAGATATTTGAAAATATGCAACACTATCCAGCTTGGAAGGCTTCAATTTCACAAGGGCATGTGTCTCCTTGTAAAAAAAAGAATGAAAGCATTGGAAATAGATTTTTTTTTCACCTTTTGGAATGTATAGTTGCATCCAGAAAATAAATATGCACTCATGTACCATTTCTTATTCAATAACAATGGAGAAAAGTGTCAGAATGATTGGTTTAACTATTGAGCCATTTGAAAACAAGCCCTTCATTAAATGAATTTCTGAATATACAAACTGCTGTTGGATACACTGCATCCATTAACACAAATATAAACACAGTGCACTACTCGGTAATGAAAGTCAATATAGGAGGTTGTTCTAAACTATGGATTGGATAATGCCTGAAGGAAACTTTAGTTGTAGATCGACATTTTGAAGCTGTGACTAACAGATTAATTACAATATTCTGTGAATCTTCCAGGCAAGAGTTACTTTTAGTTATTTTAAAGTGTACTCTTGACAATGCCATGAAATTAATCCCATTTTCCCCTTCTTTCCTGCAGACCTCATAATTGGAAATCAATTAATATTGAAAATTACAGTGCTTTGAATCCGTAGACACAAAGGAGCAAGCAACTTCAACAACTTGGACAACAGCATTTACTGATCAAGTTAAAAAGAAAAGGCTAAAAAATGAGAACCTAGTTTTGAAAGTTATACCTTTTTTTTACTCCTTTTCCTAAAAGAATATCTTTTGGTTTTAAAAGTTAATATATATGTTGGTGGTTTTGTGTTTCTTTCTGAAAATTAAATTGTGTTGAAAAGTTCAAATAACTGCAGTTTCTATTCTCTCTGTTGTTTGACTTTATTAAATTACAGCATTCCAAATTTTACTATAATCAAAGTTACCTTGTCAAATAAGTTATGCATTATATAAATAGTCCCGATCTACCATTTCAAAACCTATCTGCAGAAGAGTAGCAGCTTCACTTTTTAGAAAAGACATTTGAGAATAAATTATCCAGTTGACATATCAATCAAATGGTATAATGAAGTCTGTGGGCATTCCTGCCATTTGAGAAGAGCATAAAAATCGGTAGGATTTCAACCCTGATACATTGATTCCAGCTGAAAAACTGTCACCTTCCTAAACAGAAGTATAATTTATCACTCAAACTTGATACAATATCCTGACTTTTTCAATGTTGACAATGTTTTTTAAAATGCATTGAAATATTTCTGATGGTAAAAAAAACTGTACAAGGAAATACTAGCTGAAATAATGCAAGCAACATTGGTTGGCAAAATTAAAATTGCATTTGAAAAGCTTGACAAGTTTCTGTTTTTGTTTTGTCTTACAATGAGTGGAAAATCAGATACAAATAGTAGGAACATGCAGCATATTGGATTTGATTCTCAAAATGTAGTTCACAGGATGAATATAAAAACTGTGCATAACTCTTTAAAACAGTTGTGTCATTAGAATCACTTAGCAATGGGCACCAATCCCAGGAAAGAGTTGGTTACTTTAAAGGTTAAAGATAAAATGTTTATGCTCTCACATATTTTTTAATTATTTCCCAAACAATGCATAGCCCTAGTAAAAACAGCATTCTGTTAAAGTTGTTGACATAAGTATTTTCCCCTTTTCAAATGTGTCTGTACAAATGAAAAAATATTGTAAGGAAAAATAAATTTGTGTAAAAGACAATGTGATTTTTTTTTCTTCTGTAGGAATTTAATTTTAGTTAAAACAAGCATTTAATGTTTTTTGGATGTTCATAACAATAAACATCTGATGGAGAGGAAGCATAAATAAAAGTTTATTCATGTTACCACAGCTGGTCTCAGCCCTTTGGAAGAGTATCTTAAGTGACTGGTTAATTTCCTGACCATCATGGAGACTGATTTCAAACCTCTTGATATAAACTATATTCTAAAAGTAAACCTTGTTTATATCATGCTGATCTTTTAGACCTGCCTCGGGATATTATAACATGGAACTTTTTAATCCCTTCGTATGAATTACTGGCATCACAGACTGCATATGAGGAAAAGTCCAATTATTCCTGGCAGTGAAGATTGTTAAATTACTATATGAAATGTATAGGCTTTCATTTTGCTCTGAAAAATGCTGCGAACAGACATAGATGTTTCCAACATAGAAAGCATTGACTGGGGCTAATGTTGAAACCATTCTTTCATGTTGTCCACGCCCCGAGGTACAGGGAGAGGGAATTGCAGCTGGATCTGATGCTATGAAAAGAGAAGCCATCTCTTTTTCCCATCCAAGCCAAGGAAGTTCTAGATCAGGTTTTGCACACTAAAAAGTTTTTGAAGGCAGGCCTGTGCCATTTAGCAGCAGGGAAACTGTTGAAAGCAATAATGGCAGCTGTTGGGCCAGTGAAAGATTGTACGGTAATTTCTCTTTAAGATGTCTCCCACCTTTCTCAGCAAGCTGGCTCTTTTAAAAAAAGGAATAACACAATGTCAATGTTAGACTTTTCCTAAAGGGGCACTAGTTGAACAAGTGGAGCCCAGGAGGGAAGGCATATTGGGGTGGAGGTAGGACACTGAAGCAATTTAGGGTGGGCAAAATTAGAAGCAGATCAAAATTGCAGCCACAGGCAGGATATTACAGCTTTCCAGTCATGGCTATCTCAGCCTTTATGACTGTGGGAGAGAGATTGGGACGGTTAAGTACAGCCCTGGAATTGCAAAAAGGTATGCACACAGTACAAATAGAGAATTGGATATGAAGTAGAACAGGGCTTTCCAACCTGTGGTACATTGGCACCTGGCAGGTGGTACGCGGCCATCCTAGAAAAGTAGTAGTGGGGGAGGGGAATGAGCTGAACCGGTGGCAGCACTGCACAAGCCTGAGCGAGAGATGGCTGGAACTGCAGGGCTGTCAGCTCAGCGGAAGCGCCAGGATCAGCACTTCTTCAGGGCTGTCAGGGCTCAGTGGAAGTGCCAGGATCAGCGGCAGGCTCCAGCTGGAGCTCAGCGCTGATACTGGTGCTTCCACTGAGACCAGAAGAAGCGCCGATCAGCTGGAATGTTGCAGCATCTCCGGAATCTTGTGAGTTACATTCAGATGCTTGGCAACTGATTCATATTTATGATGGTCACAGTGTCCCAGGGTCATTGAAGTGACCAAAACCTGCTGCAACCACCCAGCAGACGGGGGGAATAAAAACCAAACACCCCCCACCCCACCCCCGCTGCCAATCGACAGAAATGCTCACAACAATGAAAACCTTGGACAGGAGGAAGAGCACCGCCGGGCGGGCAGGCAGGTGTCTTGCTCGGCTGTGGCTTGGGCACTTTTTTCAGTGCCATTGTAACTTCGGACAGTCACTAAGCGAACTGTTGTAAGTTGAGGACTACCTGTACTTTATCACTTTTTTCCTTTTGGGGGGGGTCATCAAGTTTTTGACACCTTGCTAGGCGACTGGTGGTACTCGGATGTTGCCATATCCTAAAAGTAGTACAATGGGTGAAAAGGTTGAAAAGCCCTGAAGTAGAAGACAAAATTTGAAAACAAAATAGTAATATAATTTCTAGAAAAGAGATGAAACTGCTTGATTTGTAAAGGCTTTATAAAAATAATAATCCGATCATAACAGAATTTTGTGTCTGTCTTTGGTGCCATATCATAAACATGCTCATTACACAAAGGGTTGGATGTTATCAAGACATGAAGAGGAACATCTTTTTTGCAGGTGTATTAAGCATCATGCACACATACAGCTTTTACGTTTAATTTGAAAATTACTGTTCTACTATATTGTAACTAAAATCCTTCTGCAGTATTTTGAGAAGTTCTGTGGGTTGCCAATAAGATGGCTGACGACTCCAGTCACCAATAAGTAAAAGAGAAAACAATTCAAATAGATACCATTAATTAAATTTGTCTCTATGTTGAATTGCTTCTATATGTAGTTCTTCCATCATTTTCACCTTAATGCCTATGTGGAATGATGTTCTTCCCAGTATCTAAAGGTGTGCCTTCCATATCTCATCAAGTGGCATTGAAACTTGTCAAAATATTACAGCCACATCAAAATGGATTTCTTGGGAATAATACTGAAAAGATTTGCCATTGCCATCTTCTGAATTTGATTTTGGAAAGAATTTTCTTAGGCAAATTAGCTATGCTCATATAGGCAGAGCCCTATCTGCCACCTCCCTGCTGCAGAGATGACTCTTAACTAGCTAACCTTCAATTCACTTAGTTTGATGTTGTACTACCTCTAGTTGATTTTTATGATTTCAGATAATATTTTAACATTTGCATGTACTTATATTTCTTTTGAGAAAAGAATTGTGCAGAAAAAGAATCTTGACTAAAATAATATTGTAACTCCTCTATTATGTTTCACGGTGAAAAGCTTGTCAATAAACCATGTTCATCAATTAAAATGATAGTAATCCACACCTTCCTTCAAATTCAATAGGCTCAAATTTTCCTCAAACTGTCCATCTGTGAGATCCTGCAGAAATGAAAATAAAGATCACAATCAAAATGTTTCATCAAGATACATCATATATCTGAGGACTTCTGCAATCACAATACAGAAATAAGCCAAGTTTAGACTTTGTAACTGAATAAAAAGTTATTCTACAGCAGAAATTCCTAAATATCATAATACAGTGTTTTATTTATGCAGCTGCAGCAAACGAAATATTTGCTCGCTTATCCTTCTCTAATTCTTTCTCAGTCCGATTTTTTTTTTTTTTGCTTGTGTTGTACTGGACTACATAGATAATTGGGTTGGTTAAAACCTAAAGGCTGCATTTTACTAGCTTTGCTAGTTTTAAGCTTGATTAGGATTTGTTTTGGTATCTTAAAATGATATGCAAATCCAACCTCGGACACCAGAGATCCCCTCTTTCTCTTTTTACCTAAGAACTACTAATGGATAAATATGTATTTCTAACAATCAATTCTAGAGATAATGACTTATTCATACATTACATGTAATAGTGGAAGCTGACTGTGGCCTTACCCTTTACCATATAGGTTCATGTGCATGTAAGTAGTTGCTCATAAGTAAAGTCTATGTTCTATGACATTTTTTACATTCAACCATAGAAATCAGGTTAGCGCTAGAGCCAAAGTATCATTGTGGAGTCAACACAGGAACACAGATCAACTTTGTTGCTACCGGTAATTCTGATTACCTTATCACAGACAAAAGGAACTCTAGAAGTTGCAGGTTTCTTATTTCTCCTGCCCCTAATATAAAATATTAATGCCAGAGCAAAAGTAATTTTAGCTTTGTTCTGTGATTAGGTTCTCTTTGACAGAAAAGTTAACAAGTTTTTTTTGGGGGGGGGTGTTATTTTATTTATTATTTATTTTGCAAACTTAGACTCATTGTGCAAGCATGACCAAAAACAGGTGAGAACTTAGAATCTCCTATGGTCTATATTCTTCTTTCCATTTTCCTGGATGACTCGGGAGGCTCCCATTTGTGCAGAACAGTCATCTAGCATTGCTAATGCTTTTAGCTTCTGCCAGCCCTTAGGGAACACATAGTACATTCAAGGAGCATCATAATTTGAACAATAAAGAAAGCAGCAGGTAGACTGAAGATTATAAGACCCTTAATTTTTAGCGAAGAAGAACTCTACAGAAAACCTGATGTCCCTCACGTTTGGTGGAATTGTAAAAAGGTAAAGGTTTTTTGGATTATGATTTGGTGGAACAGTCAAAAGATTTTTAAAAGGAAGATAAAGTTTACTCCTCAATTATTCTTATTGGGTATTTTTGTGGATTTAGATGATAAAGAAACTGTTTTAATGTTGAATTTATTAACTGCAGCAAGGTTACTAGTAGGTTCATATTGGAAGAAAGATTCGTTGCCTACTTTAGAAGAGTGGATATTTAAAGTTTCTAATTTTGCAGAAATGGCAAAAATTTCTGCTTTTTTAAAGGATCATACACAAGAAAGATATATTATTGTATGGAGAAGATGGATAGATTATATTCAAAACAAGTATGGGACTATAAAGTTTCATTTATTTTGTGAGTAAATTTTATAGAAAATATTGTATAAGAGATTTGTTTATGATGATAAACAAATAAGGGGAGTTAAGGGCTAAGTATGTTTTTTTTCCTTTCCTTTTCTTTTTTCTTTTTTCTCTCTTTATTGTATATTGTTAATTTTGTTATTAATAATCTTGTACTCTGCTCTGGGAAGTGAGGGGGGGTTTGAGGGTGGGTGGGTGGGTGAGTGGGTGGGTAAATAGGTAGAATAGAATAATATAGATATGGTAATTTATGAGAGAGGTGCTGCTTGGGCATTTCCCCTACGCTGTATTCCTGCATTTGAGAGGGATGAGAGGGGAGGAAGGTGAAGGGAGGAAATAGGATGGTAAGAGGAGAAGGGGAAGGGAAGAGAGTAGTGAGGGGAGGAAAGAGGAGGGAAGTAGGGAAGGTATTAGAGAGGGTGGATGCAGCTTGGGGGGAATGAGCAAGCGGCACCTATGGTTATGGTTACGATTATGAATTTATTTTATTTTGTAAAGTGAATTTTGTTGTATAATTATGTTGGATAAATGGAAAATAAAAAACTTTTTATTAAAAAAAAACCTGATGGCCATGACAGTGATTAATTGCAGTCAAATGCTTCAAATAGCTGTAACAGCCTGGCTCAGACAGGCTGTCAGAACCCCATTTGTTACCTGCTGCTGTAGGAGATACACTTGCCATACCTCCTCTGATTTAAGACAACTGTTAAATCTTAGTCTAAACACACGAGAATTTAGCCTTCAGATTGCATCTTCCAAGGAGGCCTGTTGTTGTTTTTTCAGAGAATTCTTTTTCTATTAAAAGTTAGATAACATGTACATCCAGTCTGGCATATGTATACAAAGCCACTCACCAAACTGCCACCCATGGTCAGATAGGAACCACTAGGTATTTTAGGATTCGGAGATAAATGGCTCATAGAGGGAAATGCCAAGAAGGATTTTATTGAATCAATATGAAGAGAGTTTTAGAGAAATAAAAATATACCAGTCTACATCCCTTCACCTTGCTATGAACCCCAAAAATAACATATGGGCTTCTGAACTCTCTTAGGATTTTGGGTCTCTACAGAAAGCCGAACTGTCTGGAGGCTTTTGCCAATTTTTTATACTTAAGAGTTAGGGAATATAAATAATCACACCTGAACGGAGTTTGGTACATTACCTTATGACATGGTCATAATTTCAGAAAGGGGACCCTCTGCCAAAGATACTTTTAGCAAAGAAAGAGCTCCTAGCAGAGAGCAGCTGGAGAAAATCTAATGACAGCTGTGGTCAATAACCAGGCAGCTCAATTAACTGAGTCTGTCAAAAACAAAGCACTGTGCCGATAGAAGCAAATATTTGTATTTCAGGGTTGGAAAAGAAGGGTCCTCTGAGCTTGGTTGTTTTCTTGCAGATGTTTCATTACCCAAATAGGTAACATCATCAGTTAGGCAGTGAAACATCTGCAAGAAAACAACCAAGTACTAGCATCGAGAATACAAGACATTCTTTCTGATGCTCTTTGGTCAGTAACTGGGAAACCAAGTAAGCAATCCTTTGGTTAGAATATTTTTGGGAAATGCTGTTCTAGTATGCAGCCACGGCTCCCCCTCCCCTTAGCAAATGTTAGGTAGGGAACTTACAGTATGCTGCTCTTCTTATCGTGTTACTAGTAGAAGCACAAAGAAAATAAGCAAGGGTAACACAATGATGCAATCTTCAAAGCTTACTAAACTCTTTCCACTCAGATATTTCTTATATGGGCACTAGAGAAAAGAGGTCCACTCCCACTATCTTCTTGTTATAATCTTCTATGACTTCATTCCAATACTCAATTCAATACACTTGAAAGAAGCTGTGCTTGACAGGGTAGCATGGAGAGCTCTTGCCTCTGAAGTTGCCAAGAGTCGGACATGACTGAATGGTTAAAAGAACAATTAAAGCGTTCAGGGGACAGCCTTTAGAAATTGTCAGCTGAAGTTTAAAATAAAACAAAGCATAGTCTGTACTAACTCAAAACTGATCAGACTTGAGAGTTGTTTTTTTAATGTATTAACAACCTTAATATTTGGGAGCATTTACAAAACAATTCCCTCAGTTTCTCACAGCTAAACATGGCCTTGGCTCTTCATCCTCACTAAGAAACAAATAATGTTTATTAAAGGGGGAGATGTTCAAGGGGAGAAGGTGCTAATAGCTTCAAAGGAGAGCCTGCTGACCACTTAATGTCTTAGATGACTTACGTGTCTTCTGATTTCCTTCCAACCCACTGAGTATAAGACTGACTTATACAGCGAAGTCTGAGACTTCGATTCAGGAGGGTGTTTGGTTGAACACAGACTTTGTTTAGAGAAATGGTCTAGTAAGTAGGACAGGGAAGAATAAACCATCAGAACAGAATTTATGTGTGAGAAATAAAAGGAATAGATGAGAATTTGACCCTGGAAATGAAGCACATAGGTGGCAAGCTAAAACCCTTAACTTGCTTGAGGTATTACCAACCACTAGTAACAACCAACTGATATTTTGCTATTTAGCAATATATGAGAAACGCTGACCTCCTTGAAGAAAAAGCCTGAAAGCCCTGTTATAACACTTTGTTTTTAATCACAGGAACTGCATTTTTTTTCAAGCAGCTTAGCCAGCATAATAGCAGTGACAGCTTAACATATTAGTCTGATGGGTTTTGCATAATGAATGGCTTCTTCATTGAAAGAAACCTTTCAACAAGCAGTTGGACTATTAACTCTGGTTAAAGGTGATCCTCCAGTTTACTGTATGAAGAGGAACCTTGTGTCTACTTGCCTCTCTTTTGCCATATAAGGTTATGATAACATATCTCTCACATCTATACTTCATCAGCAAGTAAATGAGGTGACATCATTCTCAACTTCAGCATTTATTTTGAGCTTTTAATTTCAGAGCACAAGTAATTCATGTTTGCAGCAGCATTAGTCTCAAAGCATACATCATTCAGATTAGTGAGAACAAAGACCCTATTGCTTTTGTGTATGAACAACAAAGCAAATGTAACATGTAGTATTTATGCAGGTTTTTCCAAATATTCAAGACACATCATCTGTACCCTCTCGGTAATCTCATAGCACTTCCCATGGAAAGCCATTATTATTCTATTAGAGACGGTGAGCTAAAGCTAAGAGAGAAATTATAATTGCACTAAAGCTTGAATTAGGGATTTCTCATTCTTGCTAGCAAAGCTTGTAACTGTGAAGGAAGAGAGGAAACGATACTGTAAAAACAGGCAGAGAGAAAGTTAGGAAACCAAAATGACCTCTGAAACTGGAAGACTTTGGGGTAAAAATGTATGTCATCTATCAGTTCATTTGTTAATGCAAATATTTTAAAACACAGTTAACCTCCAGTGACCTCTTTCAAAGAAAACTGAATCCAGGTTAAGTTCTGGAATCTCTAATCTAACTGCAAAAACCTGCAGTATGAATAGCAATCGATA